TGCATTGTTGGTACGGATCGCCAATTTAGTCCGTTTCGATTTTAGCAGCCTAGTTTGGCCTTGAGATTTTAGCAGCCTCTCCGTACTCGTCTTATCTGGCGCTGCCGTACCAGGGGCTCTTTCGGGGTCAGGGGAATGAGGCCCATATTTTTTACTGTTTTTGGCAATTTGATACCCAACGTATAGCTTGCCAGGCTCTGAACGTGAGGGCTGGGTGTTCACGAGTAGCTTGCCGTCTCTCGCGGAGGAACGGGAGAAGCTTATTTGTTCAAGGCAACTTTTAACCGCCTCCCATGTGCTTCCCAGCAGGTTGCTTGCAGGCTTTTGGTCGACTTGACTCGTAGAAATAGAGATTTGTCAAGTCGGCGCTGCAGAAGCAGGGAGCTCATCCTCTAAAATCCACCTGCGTCTCTGGGAAGCACACGGTCGTTTTCGGTTCGCGTTTATTCCCCTATCCACTATCTGGGGACGCGCCACGGGTACTCACGTTTAACCGGGCGAAATCCCTCAAATAGGGAGGTCCGTGGAGTATATACACATATTATATATATATATATATGCCTCTCTGCATTGTATGTGTTGCTTGTAGGTCTGTTTTGATGCATATATCCCTGCTTATCCATGTATGTGAATAGTACATATTTACACACTTTAACCATTATATATATGCATGTATATGTATGAATATATGTATATATGCATATATATATGATGGGACGGTACAGCATAGTGGTTAATCATGCGGCCTTTCAAGAATCAAGTTGATAGCAAGGCTCCGACTTGATCTCCTCACTAGTACACTCTTGCAATGAATCAACTGAATTCGCCTTAGCCTGGCTACTTTCGAGATTGCAAGAAAAATCGTCTTCTTAAAAAAGACGATCCTAAAGCAGCAGCCGAAGCGACACGTGAGACTCGAAGATCTTTGTCGGCGATGAACGCGACGAAACGAATTGAATGACAGAAGTCTTGCAATCCGCAGAGTACAGTGTAATAACAGGTCGTGTACAACATAAGTAAATACAATACAAAGCGCATTACGGAATTAATGGATGTCAAAAGTCTTTCATTTTTTCTGATGCGATGCTACCAAAAGTGCATTCTAATTATCCTTATGAAAACTGCGCGTATTCCCAGTGGGAATTGTCACCATAAAAGCTTTTGATGAACTTCAAGAAAATTTTGTGGCAAATGTGAAATGCTCTGAGTGAAATTAGAAAATCTTTTCACTATTAGCTTGAAAGGTCAATCTCAAATCAATATTGAGATCAAAAAAGATTTAGATTAAGAAGTGTTTTTACCTTTCGCCTAAAGAGTTGGTCGAAAGTTTTATCGAAACCTTCATCCCGTTAAATCAAACCGGTGAGGTCGTTTAGGAAATATCGCAGTCGGATCAACGATTGATCTCTCCTACATTATCAATTTATGATCTGAGAGGCAGTCATAAAAGTAGATAGGAGACAAAAATATCACTATAGGTAAAGCTAAAGCTTCCCTACAGGACATTGCGGCATCTGACGGCGCAATTGTTTTCGAAGGGACACCTTTAAGATAACGACATCTGGGATTTAATTTTGCTAGTCAGTCTAGTTTTGAATTACTCGGGCATTTAAAGTCTCTGTTATTTGCTTTTTTGTATACGTTGTTATGCTTTGCCTTATTCAGTACAATGATCAGTTGCAGACGTATTTCCGTTGCGTATTTCGTTTCCAGTCTGATAATAATGAAACATATAAGAAGCAATGAAAGTTTACATGCATTTTCGACACTCACAATAACAAGAATGCTGATGTATATGCAAAACTTGGAATCTGAGGTGGTTTCGAATCGACATTCGCGATTACTTCTCCGAGGCTCACTAAGTTTTCCACTTCACCTTCAAGATTGTCTCTTCTCCAGGAAGGATAATCACGAGTTTAAAGCCATCTCGATTTTTCCAAGTTACATTCAGATCTCGACATTATTATTACTGAATTTCAAACCGTATTTTACCGTAGAAATACAGGCAGTGAATACACAGAAGTTGAAAAGGTGGAATTGCTATCAACAGTATTCTAGTTGCACATGTCACTAGTTCACTGAGTGATTTATCTCTTGAAAACTTGGTAAGTCCTAGCAGCCAAGCTCGGCACAGTGTTAACTCATTGTGAGAGCCGAGGTAAAAAAAAAACTCCCAGCGACGTAACGTTATACTAGATTATGTTTTTTGTATCAGCTGAGGCGATAACAATTTCGGGCGCCGTGGGCTAGTGGTTGTGATGATCGTCGCGGAGCACGTGTGGCCGATCCCACCCTCCATCACTCTTCAGCAGTCATCACCGAACGTCCTGTAGGACACCACAGCAAGGCTACCCTCGATATTTCAAGGAGGCGCACTCAACCAATATTCGACAACGTTCACGAAGAAGACGAAAAAACGATTGCATGCCAAAAATATTGGGATCCGCCCAGTGAAAAAACACGTGAAGAGGGATAATAAAGTGTGTCTGAAATGTTGATAACGACATTATTGTAATACATAAGCATTTCAATAAAGAATGAAGATTGAGACTTTTGCCGCCATAGCAATATACCGAACACATAGTGACTTTTCTCGAGTATGAGTTGACAAGAGAGGAACCACCGCTTATGTCGTAATTTTTGTTTTAATGAGTTTTTGTTCGAGATCCTTTTTATATACATCCATTGTTGAGTTTTACAATAGTTTCAGACGCTGCCTTTGATTAGAAAAGAACAAATGAAAAACCGACTTTATATGCTAGAGAGAAACCTTCCATAGGAGTATCAGTAATTATTCGAAAGAGGAAACTAAAAGCTATGACCACACATTGCCTGTTTTTCAAAACACTCCTTTTTAACGCTGTAAACTTCACACAAAGCTATGTTCGGAGGCGCATATTTCTCGCCGGACAAAGCTCTTTCTTTGGGGTATTAGCAATCAATCAACAGCATAATCGAATTTGATTCCAGAGCTATGCTTATATCCTAAAAAGATCGTTTTTCTGAAACGCAGCAGGTAAATTGAGTTGAATTCCCATCTAGAAACAATGGTCGCATCGGCCAACTCACGTGCGGTTGAGTGTGGTGGCCACGTGAACTGCTGATCGATGGTCATCGCCCATTGAACGTGGCTAACAGCCACCCGCACGTGGATTGACCAATGCGGCCATTGATCGCGGATGGGAATTCAACTTACTGTATCTGCTGCCTTTCAGAAACGGTCTTTTCAGGATATAAGCATAGCGTTGGAGTAAGATTTGAGCACGCTTTCGAATTAATACTAGTCCGAATAAAGAGCTCTGTCCGCCGAGAAGTTTGCGTGTTCGAAGCCAAGAAGTTTCCTCCTATAGCAAAGTCAAAAATGTTTTTTCCGAAAACCGGCAACGTGGAGCTATAGCCTCAAGTCTCAGCTTTCGTGCTATGAACAAGTTAAAAGTTCTCTCCACCGAATTAAATTGGTTTTTCATATACCCCTCCTGATCAGAAATGACCTTTTCAAATTATGAGAACATTTTACTTCCTCTTTCTTTCCTATATTTATTTATTGAACTTCTTCGTGGTCCACTAGAATGTTATCGTATGCTATGAAATGAGGAATTAAGCAAACCTGTGCTGTTTACTGGTTACAAAAACCAAAAAAATGAAGCTGTTAAAAAGAATCGAGACGATGGAGATGGTGACACCAACGACGACGGCCAACCAGAATCGTGGCACAAGGAAATAGTCATCGACACTGTTACAGATGGACGACGTTGTCAACGTGGACATCGGTGGACTCAACGTTGTCAAGTTCATCATCACCAGCAAAGAATCATGACCAGCATCCAGAGTCGAGCTGAATATATACAAATTAAGCTATTATTTTAGGAAAAAATTTTAGGCTTGGATATAATACGATTGCCGTTAGACGCGAATGGAGATTTCGGATTACGCGAGAGTTTAAGCATACATTTCTTTGCACTGTTGACTATTCCAGAAAAGAACTGTGATATAGTGTCCGTACAGACATACCTACTAATACGCAGGTACATGTTCATATGTATACGTGCATGCCCGTGCATTAAACTTTATTCATGGATACAGTTCATATATTCACTCACACATATATACACATGTACATGTACATATATACATATGTATATATATATATATATATATATATGTATAATGTGTACAAAAAAGTTTAAGATAAGCGAGAGTCGCTGAAAAATTGGATCTAGTTTGATCTGCTCAATTTTTATAGCAAGTAAGAACTGAAGCGGGAATGAAAGATAGGAGTGATATTTGAGTACTTATCTGATTGTTTCATAGAAATCTTTCTTTACATACCCGACTTTCTTCTTACAGTAGCTCAGCTGCTAGTCTACGACTTGGTATTATGTGGTACTTCTAATAAAACCCCGTCAAATGGTAATTTCGAAGGTTATTTTGAATGAGAACGATTCCTCATAGAAACTTTTTTCAAGCAGCATCTGCAACAACACTACAAATCAAACACATGCAAGAGAAACACTATTCAAAAATCAGCTTCATGAAGCAAAAAAGCGATGAGCATGTGAAGATGGTAAACTTCAGATTGGAAGTAATAAAAAAAGAGCCGTTAATTGGCGTTCTTAGAAATTGTTCTAATTTTTTAAGACGTTCAGGGTTTCGTAATTTTAATTCCATTATCAAGAGGGTTCCATTAGGCGGCAAAATCTGATTGTGTTCAAGGGCATTTCGAGGAACTGACCCTCTGTACTAATTTTTCTACTATGCATACAACTGTGCTTTTTATTTGAATGCAAACTTAACTGAATGAAATACTTAGTATAGAGAAAATGATAAAAATAGCAGACTTTAGGAAATCTTTCAAAGAAATCTCAAGAATTATATGTACATAATGGACGTCAGCTGACTGGTTCATTGAAATTTGTGCTTATCCAATCAATCTTGTTAAAGACTTACGCTGATAATTATGATAGGAATATTATCGAAAAAAGAGTGGTGGCAGGCTGGTTGCCTCAGTGGTGTAGTGGTACCACGCCTCTGGTATGAATGGGACGCGGGTTCAACTCCCGGCTGAGCTTGAGTTTTTTGCTTACCACTTAACTGTCTTAGATTTATATTTGGAACATCGTAACACTGCCGAAAGGCGGCAAAAAACAAGCTAAGTCTCAATAATAATGAAAATAGCTTTACGTCACTCCCAGCTAACGGAATAACATACCTATTTCGAAATGGGGTTAATATTGAAGAACCATGCTTTTTATTTTGATTGAACGTTTAGAAAATATTGTCACGCAGTGTGCAAGCTGTGGATGAGTTATCGCCATAAAAGCATGTCAATGGATGATGTCATATAGCAGCACAATAACAATCGTCATTCATTAATAGTGCAGCCAAGTCAACCCAATGCAGCAACGCAGACTCGTTCAACGAAGAATAAAATCTTGTGTCATTCCCATCTTAGCTTAATAGTCCGGGAAAATCTGGATCTTATTTCAAATATGGCTTTTATCAGCAGATGACGGTAATACTGCCCCTTATATTAGAATGAACATGATGTCGGTATTGAAACTATATAAAGCGAGAAAGTAAAACTGCTCAATTTTTTGTCAGCTACAGCTGAAGAAGAGCAAAATCTTTCCATAAGATGAACGTATAGACAGTTGAAGAGAGAGATAAACATTACAGTGAGCCACAAAAATTCAGAATGAAATATGATTGAGCGGGTATGAAAGAATGGCGCAAGTTTGGAAAAAAGCACGACGAACTCAAAGAACTGACGCTGGGTTTAACGTTATGACATTCGCTTAGACTTATTCACTCGAGTAGAAAGACAGAAAAAACGCTCATCGAACCGAATGACGAGCGAAGAAATCTAGAGGAAATGCGAAAATTCATAGTTTTGAAATAGATAAATCATCTGAAGAGCGTTATTACGTTCACAAGCGGCCGTATCACATAAAGCATTACCAATCCCCAAGTAGTCAAATAGGCACTACGAGAGACTTCATTAACCCTCTCACAGTCAAGCGATCACAGCGTGGCTGGTTACCGCATTGGAATTAGTGCTGATTGAATAATTAGTGATCAGTACTGATGCCACATACTGTTTTTCCGAGAATGCTGATCTCTTTCAGCTCACAAAGTAAGCAAAAGGTCTCAAGAGGGCTCAAAAGTCTTCTTAAAAATGCATTGGAGAAATTAGTCAATTTAAAATGCCATAGGATCATTGAAAATAGACACTTGCAGAACTGAGTTTATCTCAGGGGACTATTTTGGTTAACAAATATCTTTTCTTAACTATTTATATTCATACCATTCGTTTGGAATGTTTTTTGAGACTACGCCCAAATTTTTATATGCCAGACAATTATTTTGGAGCCATGCATATGGTCCGTTATGGGCGCTTCTGCAGTGCAATACATGTGTTTCGGCCTCTCAGCCAGCAGGCCTACTACACACCACATGCATGGCTCAAAAATAACTATCACGCACATTTATAATTAGTAAACATCTTATCAAATTTAGATGCAAAAACCCATCCGCTCCTGGAAGGCTGTTCTCTTTATAATTTATTAGCTGATAATTTGCAACAAACGACGCAACAGAGAAGAATAAGGTATGCTCTAGAAAAGCATATGCACAGTCACACTACCGATTAATTACAAACACTCAAAGAGAGGACTTTACACACAAATATCGACGATCGGAAAACGTGTAGTTTTTATAGACAAAACTTCGTCATGAGAGCGTTAATCAAAGCTGCTCATGCAGCTTTCCATGCTCGGAATACACACAAATTATGAACCATTTTTTAAAGATTCTTCGTACTCTTAATTCTAGGGATTTGTCCACCTACTTCGTCAGCCACTATAGTGACTTTGCTTTGCTAGTTTCTATACTCTTTGGTGATGAAATATGATCTTTCAAGCAGAAAAAGAACGATTTCAATTTGAAGAATGAAATCTAAAGAAAGTTAACCAGTAACAGCCATGTCTCAAAAAAATATAGTTATGTGAAATTTGAACATAGACCATATTATCGATATGTTTTCAGAGATTGTTTAGAATGGAATGAAGGGTTGTGTGGTGCGTTTCAATACAATTAGTTGTTTTTGTCGCACAAAATGAATTTATACCCACAATTTGGAAGTCTCCATCCTCTTCAATTGTTATTGTCCCATAAAAAGATATAATTGACTTTTTCTGTAGCCCTCAATAAGAACGAACGTTAATCAAGCAATGACAGAGAGTTACTTTAGTTTTTATATGGTAGTGCATTAAGTAGAACTGAGCTGGTTATCTCTAAGAAGGCTAGATTAGAAAAATTCCTAGAAAGACATAATGGGAAACATTGCAGTAGTATATATTGCGAAGACAATATTTTTTGACGATATTGCGCAACTCGTTCATCTAAAAAAATCCAAAAGTATTTTCTCGTATATACGGCAATGACAAACAAAGATAGAGAATAAAAAAGATCTCATTTCATCTGGAGTGCAATGAGAGTCCTTGAGCGCAATAAAATTATTTAAGTTTGAATTTTTAAAACTGGACACATAGCTGGTTGTTTTTGGCGATTTCATCAATTTCGTGACACGGAACACATCAGTGCTGTTCGATGACATTGGAGATTTATGCTAAAGACAATTTTAGGACTTTTTTGGAGTTTGGTATATCAGTGGCTTACGTACGCTTCGGCGGTCTCCGCGGCCTCATCATTAACCCCATTAAAACTAGTAATGGGGTGACACACAATGTTAAAACCCGACAACATGAGATGTTGTCTAAGTCGTTTTACAGTCACTGGCTCTGGCTGCTATTGATGATATAGATACTTTTAATCGACTATTTTTTTAAATCCTCGTTTTAGAACTTCGATCTATTCCAAAACACTATTTTTCGTGTGGCTGTGATGAGGCGGGCGAGACCGCTGAAATCTACGCAAATCACTGGCACGCCAAAACTCAAAAATGGCTTCAAACGACTTTTTAGAAGATTTCTCCAAGATTTCTCATGTTTTGCTGCTTCTTCGCAGTGTTATGATGTTTCAGTTATACCTAAGAGAATTGTAGAGTGTTGAGCAAAAATTGTGATTTTTTTTTGGTTATTCAGAATTTGTCGGAGCTTTATAGTGAAGTTTCTAAGAACAATCGGCTGTAGACACTGGAGAAAATTTGCTTATCATGATTGCAGAATAACTTAAAACATGTGAAACAATCCAAAATGTTTAACGTAAGCTTTCGCCTATGATTATTCCTCAGAGTTACCTGTATTACTGTCCATTCAACTGCAATGGTTATTCACTGCGGAAGCATTGCAACTTGAATTCAGGTTTGTGAAACGTTATTGAAGGTGGGTTCAAGTGGATTTTGCATGATTAAACAATTATGATGAATGAGCGAATCTACTGTGCTCATTTCCACAAACCTCCAGAAGTAAGAAAATTCAGAAAAAAGCGCAGTACACGAATGTCTTCTACTGAACATTTAGAGTGCAACAGCAAAGGATGCGTGCGCCAATGGTGAATGAACGTGCACTCAAATCCTTCTAAAAGGCGGAGACTTCTTAAGTAAATGCTTTCATGCGTGTTAAGGATGGCAATGACCATTTATGAAACACACTATGCAGCAAACCCAATAAATTATAATTCAATAATCGAAGTGTTTATAAATCCGAACTCACTAATCAATCACATATTCTCTAGGAAAGAGAAAGATACGGATAGATGGAGAGAAGTTACAACAAATTAAGTTCGAAAAAAGTCATAGCCGATGAAGACAGAGCATGAATAGTTATTGTTGAAGTACTATCCAGATCGTGGATAACATTTAAGATCAGTCTATTAGTACATTAAGCTCAAATTTCTTGTTTGGATTGTATTTAGAAACAGTGAAAACATTGTGTAACCCTCATCCTCTTTGTCACACAAGTATGATTCCAACTAATTAACCGCAAAAGGATGAGAAGGACGATCTCGTTGGCCAAGTATGGGGTCGCCAGAAACCAAGGGTTTATTATAAGACGTTATAACCATTGCGCTTTCGGTGCCCACTATAGAGTGCAAGATATAAGATAGGACATTTTGAACTTATTAGTCCTTGGAAGTATTCCCTGAATATTCCTCGAATAAATAACTGGATGCTTATTTGACTTAAGTAATAATGCCTTAGACGACTGCTTATGTATTATAGCATGTTTTTATCACCACGAAGTATGACACCTATTTGCCGATGTTAAAGGGATGGAAGCTTCGGTTTCTGCGTAGTGTAAGATTGAACCAAAGACCTTTTCTCTACTGCACAGCACCTCTATCAACGCACACCATAAACAAAATACATCACGTAGGAATATGATTTGACTTTAAATGGCAACTTATAAGCATCACACCACTTGAAATGTCGATGCTAATTGCTATCGGAAGATGGATGATGTTGATTAGTGTGATAGGTAAAGACGATGAGAGCAGGGGTCCTAGTGTTTGTTTGTTTGTTTAGGAATGCATATATTGGAAATAAGAGGCCCCTCTGCATGTGATACTTGGCCAGTTCTTACTAATTTACTTGCTCATACACGTAGCGCGGTGGCCCTATCATATTATGTGGGCGTAGTCACTTTTTCCATTCGCTTCGTTATCTTTCAGCCGTCATCTCCAAATGTGATCAAATTCTCATGCACTACCAACCACCGTTTAAACATCTGACAGCCCTTGTAATTCTCAATTTTTAGAAAGTGCCTCTACAGAAAAATTCAGTGAGAAGTAATGCAGCAGTAGCACGTCTTTCAAAATTGGCAAAACGTTTTGTATACCAGTCTTCACGAATAAAAAAAAAACAACATTAATCCGTATTAGTAGTGCTCAGATTAGTTCCTATGATGCCTTGAAAAACCGTTGTAGCTGATTAGGAAGTTTTAGACGGAAAGAATAGTACCAAATCCGTGCATTTTCACTCCAAACATTGATGAGTAATTGACATAAATGTAATTCAGTGGCTTAGGAGAATAATTAGAGCTGTTAAATCAATCCAGAAGAGTTTTGATGCCGAGTAGACAACTTTTAAGCTTCTGATCAATTGAAGGCA